ATCGAGCTGCGCACATAAGGGAACAAAGATCCTCCTTAATGGCGTCACCCAGAGATGATCACCTGTTCATTTACTCAGCAGGTATTTTACTAAGCATGTGAGATTGCCAGGCCCCTCTCTGGGCATTGGAGAGGGAGAAGTGAGACGGTCCCCGCCCTCATGGAGCCTCCAGTCTGTGGTGCAGGTTTTCAAGGGCTGCTCCGGAGTCCCACAGAGGTCCTGCCAGAGGTCATAAGCCACCCGCCCAAAGGCCTGGAAGTGGACACCCTGGGATTATGGAACCATTTAGAAATGTCAAATCATAGAAGAGTTAGGGAAATCAAACAGTCGTATGGACTAACTTGCTTTTTTTTTTTTTTCCCCAAGAAGTGCTTTTATGAATAAGAGAATTCGTTAAAGATTATTGAAGAGAAATTTTCTCATTTTGGGGAGGTCTTTATTTTCTTTGAATTAACTAAGTAGCATCTCGATATCCATCTTTTAGCATAAAATTTATTGGGGTCCTGTGGGAAATATGCTATTTCCTCCTGGTTGGGTGCCATGAAGCCCACACAGAGGAGTCTGCTAGCAATCTTCTCTTCATTCCATCATGACCGGGCATCATGAGAATGCTATGTTTCCAAGCTCAGACTGTCATTGAACATTTTGAGACTTAGGAAAAAAATATGGGAAATTTGAAACATACAAATAGAAAAATATAAGACCCCACAGATGTCATCATTCATCTTCAGAAATTTCAAGTTTGCCAGTCGTGTTTCTGCTATCCCTTCACATCTTATGGGGTAAGGGTGCTAACTGGCCATTTCTCAAAAGCAGAATCAGAAGCCCTGAGAGGAGTGCTCTCCAAAAGCCCTTGGGAAGGTGAAGAGCCCTCCAGAAAGGAGTACTGTATCCAGAACTAGGACCTGAGGCTCTAACCCTGCAATCTAGAATGTTCTCTTGGCTGTGACAGTACTCTCTAACAGCAAGGCCCCCACACCCCTTCAGACCGGGATAGAACAGCACTTATGTTTTACTCCAGAGATGATTTCATTTCATTTACTCTAGAGATGATTCTACGAGGCCTTCTAGAGGCTGCCAGATCAAAGGGAAAGCCTTGGAGAATGGAGCAGCAGCTGGTGGAGAGAACCAGACGCTCCCGGCAGCAAGCTAAGCAGACATTGGGAAGTGGGGGGAAGATGGTGCGCCCAAGAGTGGGAAAGGACCATCACTTACACTATGAAGTTAGAGGAGAGGTGAGTCTCCTGGAACCACATTTACTATTCTGCGGAAATTCCAAGATGGTGCTCAGGTCTTCAGAGTCTTGAGCCAACTGGATTTTAAAATGATCTTACAATAAGGCCCGCACTTACCACAGCAAATCTTGAGATTTGACCTGTAGATGCATTGTTTGAGTAGAAGAACCTAATACAATCTCTTCAAATTCAGTAACTCTTAAAAAAAGAAAAAAAAAAGCTGATCATGAAAGACCTCAAAGGGATCAGCTGCCTGACTTCTTTGCCTGTTTTCATGATGTGCTGCTGCTTCTTCCTGAACATGGGAGAGCAGGTCAGGTCACCCTCAGGGAACACACAGTTACTAACTCATTTAATCCTCACACAAAACCCAGCAGGGTGTGTTGTTATCATTTTCCACAGAAGGAAACTGAGGGTCAGGGTGATTATGTAACCTGGCCAAGTCCCAGCGCTGGTTAAGCAGATCTGAGACCTACATTTAGGTGTGTTTGATTTCTGCATCTACTCTGTATTTCTCTGCTGTGGATCCTCCACTTCTGCCTCGTAGAACCCCTGATTGCAACTTCCCATCTGCCAAAGCAGTAAAAGCTGGAGACTTTCCTCTTCCAACCTAATGCCCTGCTCACAAGTTCTGAGCCCCAGTCCCGGCCCTTCACTTACTCCAGGAGCTGCCAGATTCCTCTAAGTGTCTTATGTTTTATTTTCCCACCTTTAGAATGAGGCTACTGTATTAGTTCATCACCATTTTGTCCTGGGTGAAGCATAAACACAGAGTATTTCAACGATATTCTTGTTTCCTCTATTTGGGGGATATTAAACAAAGGATTTTAGGAGGTAACTCAATTAGCATTTATGACCTACATCCTAAAATCCTGAAGAACTGTCTGCTGAGATACTTACACTTCTTTTTTTAAAAGATTTTATTTATTTATTTGACAGAGGTCACAAGTAGGCAGAGAGGTAGGCAGAGGGGGAGGCAGGCTCCCTGCTGAGCAGAGAGCCTGATGCGGGGCTCCAACCCAGGACACTGAGATCATGACCTGAGCCAGAGGCAGAGGCTTAACCCACAGAGCCACCCAGGTGCCCCTACACTTTTCTTCTTAAATGTCCATATGAAGAGGTAGGTATCGCATCTGTGCAGATCTATTAATTGCCCCTATTTAGTAAGCCCCCCTATTATACCAGGTAGCATATTCAAGGTAGATCTGAGCCAGAGGATTACAGGAAGGTGCTGGATACAGACAGCCAGACTAACTATAGATATACCCGGACACTGGTAGGAAATTTCCCTATCAAGGTGAAACTTCCTGTACATTCACTGGCTTGGGCTAGAGGGAGAAAGAATGGGTTTGCAAACACCTGAATTTTGAGAGACAAGGAAGCTTGAGTCAGACTTGGCGCTCAGTAGTTTGGAACTACGAATCAAAGCTTTGCTGTTGAAAGGGAAGTGAGTGCTGGTGTTTTAATGGGTTTTCCCAGCTGAACACAGAAACTGATTTTCATTACACTTGACTGCTTCTATCATGATAGCAAGTGAGAGACAGAGAAAAAGAGATTGTTCTCCAGGGACATTTACTCTCAACACTTCATTATCCTGGCTGAGGGGAGCTTGGTAGGCAGAGAATGTTCTCTCATTGGGCCAAATTGTGAGGGGCAAGGACCTGCCATATGTCACAACAAACTAAAAGACAACAGGGTAGAATGAAGGGCCCTCATTTCCATCAACTTATTTCTCCTTTCTCAAGGAAAGAGCGTGAGATGGTGGCAGCCTTCTTCAAGGCTACAGGAGCACAGTGGCCCCCTTCCTTCTGGCTCCCAGCACGCGTCCCAGGAGGGAGCAGACCCTTTAAGAGAGGCAGCCTCACTCCTCCGCAGTTAGTCCCACTTGGGACTTCAGCTCCCACACACCTAGATTCATCCAGAACCAAGCAGATGAGAGCCGCCAACCTTTCCTTCCCCCTCGCTGAACTTCCTCCTAATTGTCTTTTAAAGGTGGTAATGGTAGGAGAATTTGATTAGAAGCTCCTTTGCAAACTCCCTGCTGATTCTGAATTTTTGTCCCTAATCTCCCAGTCCCTCTGGGCCCAGCTCTGGATCTGCCTGATTCTGAGAAGCTAAGGCCCCAGGGGTTAGCTTTTCCTACTGGAAACTGGCTTCCTCCCTTTCCCAGACTGAAAAGTGTGAACAATTATTAAGCCAAGGGTTTCACAGGTGGTCTCATTCAATGTATGCAACGCCCGCCCCTCTCCCGGCACTACTGGCATCAGTATTTCACGGATGAGGAAACTGAGGCTTAAAGAGGGCTGGGGTTCCTCTGCCCTGGGAGCTATGGGTGTACAAACTGTGGATCCTAAAAAGCTCCTTGCCCTGTTCTACTGCAGGTCAGGGCCAGCCTGTATGTAGGTCCAGGGGCGCCGCAGGCCTCCTTCCTTCCCACACCGACAGGGGAGATGCAGGTGAAACTCCCAAAGAACTGAAAGGTTCGGGCTTCCTTCCTGACCCAGGCCAAGGTGGTAAAAATCTTCACTCCCTCAGCGTCTTCGTGGGCGCTGGCTCCCTCCTGCCACTGCCTTGGTTGATTTCACCCCGGAGGAGCTCTGTCCTTGGCTGTGAGAACCGCTGGGTCCTGGAGCTGCGAATAAACCAGAAGGCAGTGGGCCGGGGGACACGCAGCTCCCACTGTCCCTCCAGCCAGCCGCAGGCCAAGGTTTGCTTTCACTGTTTGAAAGGAGGCCCTGCAGTCCTAGTTTCGCCGGAAAAGCAGAGGCGCTTTGATATTCTGCGTTTAAACTGGAGAGCTTGGCCCAGGGGGCCAGCTCCCCCCCGAGGCTTGGCCGACCTGGGTGCTGGGGCAGCCCGGCCGCTGGAGGACCTCAACTTTGGCTGCTCCCCGGGCCATAAATTAGTGGGGCCTCCTTCCCTGTCGCCTACCCTCTCAGGCCGGCAGTTCTGCGAATCCAAACCTCTAAGACTCGTCTGGGGAAGGCCTGGGGTCTGCAAAATAGTACGGGTAGAACTAAATGGGGTCGCCGCGATCCGCACTCACCCGCCTGCCACCCCCGTTTCCTCCGAGTCTCCGCGTCCATTTCCTAGGGGGCAGTTTCTCCGCGCCCCGCTGGCTGTCCCTGCCCACCACCTGCGTCGTTTGGGATGCGTCGGAAGGCGCCTCTAACTCTTCGCACCCTCCGTCTCCTTCCAAGGGCACCCCAACTCCCTCCAGCTCTCACCTGCACCCCTGAAATGCAGTTTCTTCTCTCCAGACTAAACCTGGGCCCGCGGCGTCTGGAAAAGCCCCGGAGCCTCCCACACCGAGGCTGCAAGCTGCTTGCTTACCAAGTCCAAAGGTCAGCTAAAGTTTGGCTGATAAACAGAACCACTACAAGAAGGTCTTCAGCCCCCCAGCGTGAGTACAATGGACCCTGGCATGCCCTGCTCCCGGTCTAGGTCTCCAGCTCTCCACGTCTGCCCCCTCATGCTCTCCCTCTCTCCCTTTCCCCCCTCCCCAAGACCATTTGCATCTTGCCGAAAGCCGGGCCCTCCCCGCTAATTTGCATATCTTATATGGCCTAATGGTGGCGATCATGGCAAGTTAGAAGTTTTCTGGCTCCTCTCGGAGGAGACTCCGGGACCCTGGGGAGTTAACAGGTGTCTGGAGGCTGAAGGGTGGGGGGGGCTCCTGGACTTGGGGTTCGCTTGTGAAACTCCCCTCCACCCTCCTCTCTTGCACCCACCCACCCCCTCACCCCCTTCTTTTTCTGTCCTTGGAAAATGGTGTCCAAGCTTACGTCGCTCCAGCAAGAACTCCTGAGCGCCCTGCTGAGCTCCGGGGTCACCAAGGAGGTGCTGGTCCAGGCCTTAGAGGAGTTGCTGCCATCCCCGAGTTTCGGGGTGAAGCTGGAGACGCTGCCCCTGTCCCCCGGGAACGGGGCCGACCCCGACACCAAGCCAGTCTTTCATACGCTCACGAACGGCCACGCCAAGGGCCGCTTGTCTGGGGACGAGGGTTCCGAAGACGGGGACGACTATGACACCCCTCCCATCCTCAAGGAGCTGCAAGCGCTCAACACCGAGGAGGCGGCGGAGCAGCGGGCGGAGGTGGACCGGATGCTCAGGTAGGCGCGGACCGAGGTGGGGAGTACGCGCCCCAAACCCTGAAGCCCGGGCCTTGTGCCTGAGTGGCGCTGCGCGCGACCCTGTTTCCCACCAGAGAAGTCCCCCGGGGGGGTGCTCCGCCTCTCTCCCAACACCTGGACCCCTCCCAGTGCCGCACTCGGCCCTGAATCCCGAGGCTCCATCTCCCCTTCCCCAGGCCAGCGCCCGGGACCCGAGGGGCCCTCCCGGCCTGGGAGAGCCCGAGCGGCGGAGCTCTGGGCGGGAGGTGTGCTCGCGCGACTGGAGGGTGCGAGTGGGTGCAGTGAGTCAGTGGCCACTTCCCGTGAGCAGAGGCTCCCGCCCGCACAGGTCCCAGGCCGAGCGTTTCTCCCGCGCGCCGCCTCTCCCGTCCCGGGAAACGCCGGCCGGCGTCCGGCACCGCGTCCCGCTGTCCTTTCAGAGGGACTGGCGGCGCCCGGGGCCGGGATCCGGGGGGCGAGCTCTCTGGAGGGCACTCCCATCTGCAGTGCCCCTGCAAGGCCCTAGGGTTATCCAGAATCCTCAGGGCCAGGTTAGATTTGCAAAGGGAAACGTTTGCGTGTTGTAGGGCCAGGGCGGACCCGCACGGGGCAAAAGGAACACGTATCTAAGGAAGCCAGGGGCAAGTGCGGCTGAGACCGCCTTCGCAGCGGATTTGGTGGCATTTTGAGAAAGAAGGGCGTTTCCAGACCTGGCCGCCGACATCCCGGCTTCCTCGCGGAATTCGGGCCGCCTGGCGGGCCTGGGATCTTTTGCTGGGTCTCCCCGACCGGCCTAGGGCTTTGACAGCTAGTTACTAATTATCCAAGGAGCCGAGCGGTTCCCTTAGACCGCACGTCGCTCCCGGCACCTCGGCTTTAGGACCGAGTCCCTTGCGTGGCCTCGGACCCTTCAGCGCCGAGATTTCAGGACAGGGGCCGGAACCAAAGCCGCGCCCCGAGTAAGGCAGCCTCGGTGTCCCGGCCGCAGCAGCAGTTTGGGGGTGGGATGTGACCCTGCATTTGAATTTGCCATCTGGGGACCCAGCGGCTTACTCTCTAGCAAAGATAATTGGGGATTTCTAGATTTTTCCCCTCCGAAGTACTTTTTTTGTTGTTCGTAGGTTTGAGGTTCTTCCCTCGCGGTTCCCCCGAGCGGCGGCGGTTTCGTTACCGCCGAGGTTCGGGCGCAGGAAGGTGAGGGGTCGGAAGAGGAGCCGCTGGGGCTCCAGGTCGGCCTGGAGGTCGTGCAGGCCGGGCAGTCTAACCGAGCTCCCGGCCGCCTGCCACAGGAAGCCCGCGGGGCCCAGGCCCATCCACCTGGCCGCTAGCGTGCGTCTTCCAGCGGGGTTCTGGGACGTTCTGCGAAGCCCGAGGCGACCCAGGGCCCCCTCCGCACCCAACCCCGCGCTGGGTTGGACGCAGCAGAGATGTAACATAAACGGCAGCACGTGGAGTTAGGGTGTTATTAATTTATTTCTATAAATCATCAACAGAAAGATACACAAAGAGTTGTGATTAGGTTAAGAAGAGAGGCGGGTTATTCATTGGTGAAGTTGTAAACGCGGCTTAGAGAGGGAAGGAAGTCCGAACGCAGACGCGGGGCTCCTGCCCGTGCACGCGCTCGGCGCTGCGGGGCGCTCCCCGCCAGGCCCCCCGGCACCTAAGCTGGGCTGTCCGGGCCGCCCCGGGGCGGTGCGCACCAGCAGACGCGGCCTCGGCCCTGTGCCCTCGGCGCAGCCTGGCTCCCGCGGGGCGGGGAGGGAGGCGAGGGGCAGAGACCCTCACCCGGCTGGAGACGTAGAGGACAGACCCACGGTTTTCCCTCCTTTCCCAGGCGGGTGCCGCCTTCCCTCCCCCACCTTCGGGAGTGCTCAGACTTTATTAAAGTAATTTTTCAAGAAATTGCTAGCGGTTCCCAGGTCACTGCACGGTCGGCTCCAGAGCACTCCCTTTTTTGCCCACCCTGTTCCGGTAAAGTGGAAAGAACAGAACGGAAGTGTCTTTGCTGGACGCAGGACTCCTGGAAGAGAAAGGCAAGAAGGAAAGGTCCGGGACCGCGTACCGCTTGGCCCCGCGCTCCGGGCTGGAGCTGCCTCGGGAGCCCGGGCGTTTGGAAAGGAAGGAAGCCAGAGTTGAGGCTTCTGAAGGAGCTCGGGGCGAACTGTACGGGGGTCCAGGGCTTTCCTGCTCCTGGGCAGCAGAGTCCCTGTTTGAAAAGGAGCGTGCTGGGCCCACTCCCGGCACCGGGGTCGCACGTTTGACACCTGCGCTCCCGGCACAGTGGCCGCTCGTGTTTCTCGGGATCCGTGTATTTGTCGGGCTTTGGAACCTCTTGATCTAAGCTGTATTTTCAAATGGACAAACGTAACCAGCTCTCTGGGGTCCTCCCGGTGAATACAGGTGAATTGTGGGGTCAGAGAGCTGTAAAGGTATAACAACGCCATCTTCCCCCTGGCTCTTGTCATTAAATACGGGCTGAAGGGTTTGCTCGAGTTTGTAGGGTTTCCCTGTGTGGTTTTTTTTTTTTTTTCTTTAACCTTCCCAGTTGTTAAACTAATTATTCTTTCCACAGAACCTTTCCATCTTAGAACAGTAAACTATTTTGCTAGGTTTCCTAGACACACGAAATGAACACAGGTAAAGAAATTTAAACAAAACGAAGAGAGTCAAAGAATCTGTTAAAGCAATTAACTTTGAAAATCCAAAGGCGTTTTCTAAGTTCCAAAGCAGTTGTATCTGTTGAAAGTGTTTTTCTACCCTAAAAATATCTATGGAAATATTCCCCAGAAGCAAGCGTTAAAATGATCGCTGATGTTTACACGGGTATTTGCGTCGTGTGGATATTTTCCATGTGTGAAATGGATTGCGTTTTCGCATTTTTTTGTCCTTGTTAGTTCATTATGTTTCATCACTTGGATGTACCTTTATAAATACTTGAGAAATGTATTGACATATATATATAATTAATCTTAAAAGTGTGTCTTTCAAAACATCTCTGCTAAAGCCTGTGATCTCACGAATTTAATATCAAAGATTTGTTAAAATAACCAGTTATTCAGACGCTTACAAAATATGTTTACTTACAAATTTTTAAATTCGTTAAACAAAAATAAATTTTATTTGCCATGTGATAGGCACCATTTAGAAATGACCGTTTCATTTGCAACAGTATCTCTGTTTTAGCCTCTGCTTTACACGTTCTTTATTGTTTCATTTCAAACTCAGGTTTTTTCTTCTTTTTTTTTCATGTTCTATCAGACTGTTATACACATCAGCATATAGTAAAGGGGTACTGGGTCTTTTTTTAAGTTAAATATATAACTGTATCAAATAGTATATGTGGATATGTGGAGTGAATACTTTTGTTCTATATTGTGCCTCATTTTTAAAATTTCTTGTTTTAAGTGACACCTCTCACTTTGAAGTCACCTATTCAATAAGCAAGAAAATATACTGGCAAAGTTGAAAGCACTTTAAATAAATAAAATTCAAAAACCCTAGTACATTGCTGTAGAGAAGCTTTTTGCGTATATTCTGAGAAATGAGAAGTATAATCAAGTTCTTATCCCATGCTTGAAATTGATGAGAAACATTGCCTTCCAGATATATTTCTTCCCTGATAGGATCAGGGTAAGAATAGGAGAAACCATGGCATTTGGGATGGTTAATATCTTATTCAAAAATTGATTTGAGGGGCGCCTGGGTGGCTCAGTGGGTTAAGCCTCTGCCTTCAGCTCAGGTCATGATCCCAGGGTCCTGGGATGGAGCCCCACATCAGGCTCTCTGCTCAGCAGGGAGCCTGCTTCCCCTCCTCTCTCTACCTGCCTCTCTGCCTACTTGTGATCTTTCTCTCTGTCAAATAAATAAATAAAATCTTTAAAAAAATTTGATTTGAAATTATCCATCCCCATTAGGTTTCATCTGGGAGGTAGGGCTGTGGAGGGTTGTTTTTTGTTTGGTTGGTTGGTTGGTTTTTAAACCTGCCGTACCTCCCTGGAGTGATTCTTCTTTCTGGGAGGAGGAACATCATTGTATTTCTTAAAAACTTTTCTGAAACTCTGAAAACTGTTTAACATTTGGCTGAGAAGTCCTCATTGCTTCTCAGGAGATGGACACAAATGTTTCACTCCAATTTTATAGGACAAAAAAACTGAGACACCTACTCAGAAAGGAAATAATGTGGAAAAGGTCTGGAATTCCAGACTGGTGCTGCCCCCTGTCATTGCAGGATCAGCCCGCCCAGCCCCAAGTTAATGGCATCTCCACTTTCCAAAAGGCCTTTTGCCTTCACGCCCCTCACTTTCCAGGAAAAGGAAGGAAAGCAAAATAAAATAGGAACTTTTCTCTCTGCTAAAGAAAGTGAGTGCTGGTAGTGCCTCCCCATCCCTGAAGATGGGATGTCATTGTCACCTTTATCCTCCTGATCTCCGATGACAGGGACTGAGTATACTGTATAGGAGCTCTTGTCTCCCTTTCCTTTAGGTTTTGTTTTGGCCTTACCTCTCTCCCCTGGATGTCACTTGGGCAGATGGAAGAAGTGGGTGAAGATCAGGGTTTTGCACAGAGTGTAGGTAGAAGCCCTAAAAAGGGAATATTTCTACCCAGACATCTTCCACCAAAATCCTAACCGTCTGCTTATCTGTCTAGCGAGGACCCCTGGAGGGCTGCCAAAATGATTAAGGGCTACATGCAGCAGCACAACATCCCCCAGAGGGAAGTGGTCGATGTCACGGGTCTCAACCAGTCCCACCTCTCTCAGCATCTCAACAAGGGCACCCCCATGAAGACCCAGAAGCGCGCAGCCCTCTACACCTGGTACGTCCGAAAGCAACGAGAGATCCTCCGACGTAAGTGCTCTAACCCCTGCTGGACCTCAACCTGGAGTGACCTTTGCCCTAACTCTGACCCCTGTGGGATGCCTCAGTTTCCTCTACATCCAGAAGGCCTGCGGAGCATTTGGCAGATACAAGGAAGCTGGCAGGTGGATTTGGTTTTCGTAGTTATACAGCGGATTGATTTCCATCATTTTCTTCTTCCATGGTTCCTTACTACCCAGCCAGCTGCCTTGATGAGTCCATTAGTGTGTGCGATGTACATTGAATTTTCTGGTCCCCGCTTCCAGCATCCTTCTCTTTGAAACCAAGTAGGTAACAGTGGACTGTTGTCCCCAAACTAAACCAAACAGCTCTCCTTGCCGCAGATCGGAGTTCCCAAGGAAGACGTCCTGTAGCCATCCATACCTGTTGATCACTAATACTGTTCTTTTCCTCCCCTCTGGAGAGCATGTACAAAACAGAAGATAGCTATAGATACAGATACAGTCAGAACTCAACCCTGTTTCTGGGAGCAGGAGCACTCTCATCCCAAAGCAATTTAGGATGATCCCTGACATATGTCAATATCGACACAGTTTTGAGACTTCAGCTGATGACCCTGTGTGATGAGGAAGCCGCTCTGGCTAAATCAGGACACAGCAGCAGTGTCTCCATTTGGGACACTGGCCAATCAGTTGCTGTCATTCCCACTTCCATCCCCAAATTTTCTTTCTGTCCCAAGATTTCTTCCAGTCAGTAATACCAAGAGATTTTTGTTTTGAAGCATAGGGAAGTTTGAACTGCATTTGAATGATGGACTGTTTTTATTTTTAGGAGAATATGCTTTTACATTATCCTTTAATTATTTTGATCTGGCCCTTTTCCCAGGAAAATTTTGTATGAGTTTTCCACTCTTCCCATCCACTGTCCTCTGGGCCATCCCATCCCACTGTCCTCTTCCCATCCACTGTCCTCTGGGCCGTGGGCTCCTCTCTCTTCATCAAGATACTAATTTCCACCACTTTCTGGGTTGGGTTTTTTCCCCTCTCACTGGATGTCCACTTTCTAAAAAATCTTTCTTGTTTTCTGCCATACAGTGCTCTGAAGTGATTATTTCAGTATTGATTGTCTCCGTGCCCGTGGGTGGAAAGGCTTCCTGGAGGAGGGAAAAGTTTTAGACCTCCATCTCCTAGGGTGGCTGTTTGTTGGAAGCATTAAATGGTCAGATGAGAAGAAGCAAAGGCAGAGGTCTTTGCTGCATAGGAGAAGGGGCCCCTTTTAAACTAGGGGTTGATTCACCACCCACAGTGGCTAGGTCTTTAAGAATTTGTGTTTCTGACATGAAGCAACTCTCTGTGATTCCTGGAGAGTCTGAGAACATTCTCAGGAGCCACAGTCTCTGAAGGCCAGAGAACCCTTGGGCCTGCCCTCACTCCAGTCCAAGCCTCATGTGGCATCTCCAGTTTGAGCTGCCTCCCTGTGTTCAGTGGATCTCTCAGAAAGCAGAGAGATCCAGGAAAGGCCAGTTAGAAGCTATGAAAAAGACACACGTCCCAGAAAGTTTCTCAAGATGCTTGAGATGAGACTGCAAGGGATTTTTTTTTCCTCTGCAAGGGATTTTTAAAATCATTATTGTTTTAAAGCCACATGAGGTCTAAATCTTAAGAAACATTCCTTCATTCTGTAAATATTATTTGAACTTCAGTTAGGTGTCAAACACTGTCCTGGGCTGTAAGATGCACAGGCTCTTTTTTCCTGGATTTACCACCTGATGAGGGAAATGGCATGTTTAAGTAAATAATGACGGTTGCTTTCTAAGAGCTGTTATAAAGGTGTACACAAGGGGCAGCAGAGGAATTGCTAAATTGTCTGGAGATATCACAGAGGGCTTCCTAGAGGAGGTGGCATTGGACCCAATTCTTGCAGGATGAATACAAGATACACAAGCATGGGATAAAAATTAGCAAGTGAGATGGAACGTGTGAAAGGAGAAAGGGGGGAGCATTTATTTTTTTAAATTATTTTTATTAACATTTAATATGTTATTTGCCCCAAGGGTACAGGTCTGTGAATCGTCAGGCTTAGACATTTCACAGCACTCACCATAGCACATACCTTCCCCAGTGTCCATAACCCCACCACCCTATCCCTACCCTCCCACCCCCCAGCAACCCTCAGTTTGTTTTGTGAGATTAAGAGTCTCTTATGGTTTGTCTCACTCCCGATCCCATCTTGTTTCATTTTTTCCTCCCCTACCCCCCAAACCAGGGGGGAGCATTTAAAAAGACATACTTGGGGCGCCTGGGTGGCTCAATGGGTTAAGCCGCTGCCTTCGGCTCAGGTCATGATCTCAGGGTCCTGGGATTGAGTCCCGCATCAGGCTCTCTGCTCGGCAGGGAGCCTGCTTCCCTCTCTCTCTCTCTCTCTCCCTGCCTCTCTGTCTACTTGTGATCTCTCTCTGTCAAATAAATAAATAAAATCTCTAAAAAAAAAAATAAAAATAAAAAGACATACTTTTTTGAAAAATGAAAAATGATAATATCAGTGATAATATTCATGGGCCCATGCACATGTAGAGAATCTGCTTGTCCAAGCTAGCTCCTGAGCCTATAAAGAGGCTGCTGAAACCAGAACATTTTCTGTCTCCCTGCTTCCCCCCATTGATCTAGAAGGAAGCGGAGGAGAGGTGGTGGTGGCTGGAGGATGGGCCGAAGTCCAGTTCTTCAAAACTCCAGAGGCTAGGGCCCTGAGGTGGGCAGAGCCCAGATATTTCCAGGCACCTGCAATCAAGGCAGCCTGGCCGATTTGGGCATGCGTGCAGGGAGGCTGCCTCCCCAGAAGGCAGCCCTCAGACAGAGGCCATCCCAAACTCTGGGCAGCTATGAGGGAGCCTCACACCTACCACAGACAAAATTAGTCAGTTCTGTTACCTCCACCCAAGTCAGATGTGATGGTTTTGTGGATGTATTGTTTGGGTTTGGCTTGTACCAAGAGGCGATGCAAAGGTTGCTGATTAAGGGGGCTTTGTGTCTGTAGGGCTATGGCCCATGCCTCACATCCATACAACTTTGGGCAAGTCCTATAAGCAGTCTGAATCTCAGTTTCTTCAGCTACAAAACGGAGAAGACCAGACTTCTTGCTTGGAGATGTTGTAAGAGTTAGATGGACCTTTTGGATACCCCACCACACCGGGGGCTCAATACACATTCATTGTCATGATCAGTATTTGGAAGTACAGGAAGAGCCTCCTGTGGCTCCTGGGTCCTCGGGATTATCCTTACTGGCCTTGCCTCTTACTCTTGGTGACGCCACAGGGAGGAGAGGAGACCTTGAGGCAGACCTCTGAGTGAGGAACTTCTTTCTCCCCCTCTTGCTGTCCCTCAGGTGGCTGTACAAGCCAGTGGCCATGGAGACCCAGTAATGTAAGAGGTGTGGAGGCACTTGGAAAAACATGGCCTCCCTAGGAATGTGGGTCCCCATCATCATCCTGACTAGAGATAGATGTTCTGAAAGACTCTTGAGTGCCCCCTTAGGTTTTCACCCGGTCCCATCCCACAGGCAGGGAAGCAGGCGGTGGGGAGAGTTAGGTGACTTGGCTTGGGCCCTCAATTAGCCAAAACTGAGACAGTGGCTTCCTGCCCAGAGCTTGGGCAGGGCTTCTCTCGAGGTGTCTGAAGCAGTTATTGGGAATCACTGAACACGGAGCCGAAAGTGGCCTGAGAATCCTCCAGAGTGGATAGGACCCAAATCCTAGGCCCCAGGGACAAAAACAGGTTCAGACACTACTTAGAACTTGGCCAGTCGGCAACCAGTTCAGATGAAGCCAGCACGGCCTGTAGCAGAGTCTCAAGTTCAGGCTGGTTAGAGGCCCACTGTTACTGAGGATGGGCCAAAATGGAAAATGATCCCTAGACCGGTAGTAAGTTCCCCATCGCTGAAGGGGTGTAGACTGGAAGACCACGTGGCAGGGTGTCGTAGAGGGAATTTGAGCATTAAATAGTGGCCTGACTCTGAACCTTGGAGAATTTTGGATCAAGTTGCCTCTGACACCTGCATAAGTGACTCCAGGAACCAAGAAAGAAAAACATCAAGGTCCAGAACCTGGGGACTGGGAGTTAGGAAGTGAATCTGTCATGTGTCCTTGCTTAGCAGGGTGGTTGGCCTCTGTGTTTGTTCATCTGTAAAATGGAACTAATGACTCTGAACCCTGGTTCGTGTAGTTCTGAGGAAGACGAAAACAAAGTTCTCTTCTCCCACAAGTGAAAAGTAAATCTCATTTAAACCACATGGGCTAGAGTGTCCCCAGTGGGTGAGCTGCCACCTTTCATTCTTTCATTCAAAAAAAAAATGTATTGAGGGTCACTATGTAACCAGATCCTGGGAATTGACGGGGAGCATCGCTTTGTCTACATTTATCTTTCTCCAACTCATTAAATGCCATTGCTAGAAAGGTCCTGTGTTTGCAGTCTTCTGCATTTGCCGTCTGTCAAAAGTGAGGCAGATCCGTAAGACCTTTCCTTCTTGGGCTGTTTCCCTCATAAATGGACCCCTGGACACACACACACACACACACACACACACACACCATGCCTTTGAAATTATCCGAAATCTGAGAGCTTCTTCTCTTTCTATTCTAAAACTCCAGTTATATTTATTCCTAAGTAATAGTGAACAGGTTTTGGGTTTTTCTGAGGGGATAACATCATAAGGTAGATGCCTAGGATGCATGAGGAGAGAGGAGCGCTGGGGAGAGCTGTTTTTAGTTTCTGAATATTTTGTCTAAGAGCATATTGTATCTTTGAGCCCTTTACCTCTAGACCTGAGACTTGGTTGAGCTCATCCTCTTGGACACCAAAATACAAGAGTTCAGGATTCAGAGGCTTGCTTCATGTCTGAGGGCCAGTGAGCCGATGAAAACACACTGCCACTCAGACAGTGGCTGGGCCACATGGGAGCTCCTTCAGAGAAAGGAAAGCGGTGGCTTTGGTGGAGCAAACCGAAGTGGGCAGTGAGGGGCCTGTTGTGGGCTTCCCCTCTGGACCCCATGGCCCCACACGTCATAACGGCAGATGGCAAAGCTTAGGGGAGAGGAATAAAGGTGTTTTTGTCTGTCTGTCTATCTGTCTGCCAAGTGAAGGCTACAGACCCTATCAAATCTACTCCTTTCTCTTTTCAGAGTTCAACCAGACAGTCCAGAGTTCTGGAAATATGACAGACAAAGGCAGTCAGGATCAGCTGCTGTTTCTCTTTCCAGAGTTCAGTCAACAGAGCCAGGGGCCTGGGCAGTCCGATGACGCCTGCTCTGAGCCCGCCAACAAGAAGATGCGTCGCAACCGGTTCAAATGGGGGCCCGCATCCCAGCAAATCTTGTACCAGGCCTACGACCGGCAAAAGAACCCCAGCAAGGAAGAGAGGGAGGCCTTAGTGGAGGAGTGCAACAGGTAACACCACCAGAAACTCACTCGAGCAGGCGGGCAAGCACATGGACCTGAGATCCATCCCTACAGTGCTGGGATATTGAAGTATTGGTTATCCAGCTAAGTGTGGCTACGGCAGGGTTTCCCAAAGTGTGTCCATGGAACCCTGATTTCACACTATTAACAAATAAGTTTGAGAAACTTCAAGTGTATTCTTCCTCCCGGGGAGTCGTGACCCACGTTAACCTTAAAAAGACCCCGAGAAAGCCTAGAGTTGAGAAACGAGAAACGTACATCGCTTTGTTGAGTTGATTGTGAGGCAAGGGGTACTTAAACAATGAACTGTTATTGTAGGGAAGATAATTTGGAGGTTGCTGGTCCAAAAATAAGATGTCAGTAGGATGAGAACCAGTGTTTGACCTCCATGCAGACCAGGGAAAAACGGTCCCTTAGCCAGAGACTGGTTCTGGCTTTGACCAACTTACTGGTCCAGGAGGAAACTTGGCGGAAAAGAATTGGTTAGATCTGTCCAATGCACTCTGTCTACACTGCTTAGAATTCTTTTTGTATCTTAACAACCACATATAATTTTAAAGAAAATTATTAGAAATCCTTGGGATATCTTTTTTTTTTTTTTTCACTCCTGCCATCTTCCCTGACTCCAACATTAACTTTGACTTCCTGAAAAGTCTGGTCTGCAAAAGGTGGGGGACACCGGGGTGGCTCAGTCAGTTAACCGTCCGACTCTTGATTTTAGCTCCAGTCATCATGATCTTAGGGTCGTGAGATCTAGGCCCATGTCAGGCTCTTCACGGGGCATGGAGCGTGCATGAGGTTCTCCCTGTCCCTGTCTCTCTGCCCCTCCCCCCTTTCTTGTACGAGAGCTTGTACTCACCCTCAATAAATGAAATGAAATGAAATGAAATGAAATGAAATGAAAAAAGAAGTCTGGTCTTTGCTCTGGCCAAGACCTGCGGGCTCTCTGTCCATCTCTGGGCTGGTCTGGCTCTGACAACAAGATATGGCTAGAGAGCTGAAGCCAGGAAAGGACATGTCACAGAATCCCCAGGCTATGCTCTGTCCCCCTGCTAATGAGAAGCCCCCCCAGCACCCAGCGGTGTCTGAGAGTCCCTCTCCCACCTGGCCAGCAGTGATAAAGCTAGAGACCAAGCACCTCTCTGTGTCTTCCTTTCACCGCTCCCAGCCTGCCCTTTGAAGAGGATTCCTGTGGCACATAAGGAATATGGCTATCCTGGTACCCTTTTGGGGCTATCCAAACTCTAAACGACCAGAAGTCCCTCGAAGGGGTTCAGATGGAGCTAGTGAAGGATTTCACCTTTTGTAGGTTGGAAAGAGTAGCAACATAAGATATCAAGAGGCCCTGTCTGGACCCTCTCCCTGCATTACCTGCCCGTTGGCTGTTCTCTCTGTGTCGGGAGCCACACCAGAGGCCTAAGCCCCTCATTCTCGGGCCACAGAGCTTGTGCGGTCCATTTTCGGCCCTACTCCAGCCAGATAACTCCATGGGCTGGACTTCTCTCAGAACAGGCTTTTCCCCAGGCCCCACCTCTGTCCTTGGCCTCTTCACGCTCCTGAGCAGGAGCACTGAGATGTTGTGTCTGAGGCCAAGGACCAGCAGGCCTCCCCCTGGCTGCTCTCACTCACCTTCTTCCCCCGCTTCCCCCTCCCCCGTCCATCCTCAGGGCAGAATGTTTGCAGCGAGGTGTCTCCCCCTCCAAAGCCCACGGCCTGGGCTCCAACCTGGTCACTGAGGTCCGTGTCTACAACTGGTTTGCAAACCGCAGGAAGGAGGAGGCGTTCCGGCAGAAGCTGGCCATGGACGCCTACAGCTCGAGCCAGACGCACAGCCTGGACCCCCTGCTCTCCCACGGCTCTCCCCACCACCAGCCTGGCGCCTCTCCTCCAAACAAGCTGCCAGGTAAGCCTGGCCCAGGCCCCAGTGCCTCGGAGGCCCAGCCACCCTGCTTCTCCCCACGGGTCTGGGCTGGCGCAAGGTTTTTCCTGAGGAGGAAATGGCGGGATGGTGCTAGGGCTGGCCCCCTCCCGTGGCCAGAATGTTCTTGGGAGAACAGTGTGTGGCTGCACTCAGGTTTCCTCTGAGTCCTTGCTCAGACTCTGGGGAGCCCCTCTTCCCCAGCCTTCTCTGGGTCTCCTTTCTTCTCCCTGGGTGGTTGCTGACTCAGCAAAGCGGGGTGACTGTCAGATGAGATGGAGAGGCTGCCTTATTGGCACTCTACATCTGAAATACAGGGTCCCCTCTACCCCGTCCAGATCCCATGCCAGGGCTCCATCCAGCCCTAGCAGGGGGGGCCCAGAGGCCTGTGGGGAAGGGCCACTCTGCTGGCAGTCTCTTGCTGGCTTCGGTGCTCTGCCAGAGTTAGTGCAGAATCTCACCTGACAGCTTTGCAGGGCTGAGATGGCCCAAACTAGTTGATTCCCTACTGTGTGCTGCCGTGTGCCGGGCCCCCGGCCTGCGTTAGACGTCTCTGCTACGGGGTGTGGGCTTGTCGGGCTCAAAGCCTACATCGTCACTGTGGGAAAGCACCCCTATATGCTGAGTGGTGCATCAGGCCTGGTCTGAGGCAGAGCACTTCTCCCCCCTCCCCGGGGCTTAGTCCTTTCCGGAAAGCTGGCTGCCCAGCGTGAGGGTGCTTATTGAGGCTGGCTTGGTGTCCCTGTAGGAAAAGGATGGCATGATCTGCCCCCTGCTCTGGGGAAGGGTTTGCAAAAGGAGAACCAGGCCTCATTTGCAGCTCCGCCTGCTGCTTGCTCTGCTGCTGGGAGCAGTCTGAGGTCTGGGGCTGGCCTCAGTGGTGGGGGGCCCCAGCTGGGCTGTTGCCAAGCATTTGTTCCACACACTGCTCCCACAGCATGACTGCTTCCAGGGTGTCTGGGTACCTGGGCCAGGGCTGGGGCCTTCTTGGGACCCTACTCCCGCAGAAGGGAAAGGTTCCGCCACACAGGGAGAAGGTTCAGGTTATTCTTGAAAGGCCTAGAAGCGCCCCCCCACCCCCGCCGTCACCCCAACCCCGAAGAGCACTAGCCTGATGGCAGAGTAAGTCCATCCTGTAACGGAAACCCAAAGCAGGGTTCAGAGGGCAGAGCAAACGGCATGTGGCCAGCACGGAGCATGACTGGGGCACTTGCTGCCCGCCTGCGGTGATCCACGGAGCAGGGGCTGGAGCGGTGGGGGGCGTGGTTGGGGCAAGGGGCATTATTGAGAAGACAATGGCTATTGTGCTGGGACCTGTGATCTCCACACCAAAGTCAGGGAGCCTGCAAGCCGAACAAAGGCCGGGCAGCTTTCTGACAAGCTGGGGTTGTGGTGAGGTCACCACGGGGTCGTTGGCGGAGGCCTTCTGTATACTGACAGGAGACACAGAGCGGGGCCCGAGGGGCCAGGCAGGTACTGGAAACTGAGCAGGGTGCATGCTAAATACAGCCCAAGAGCCCTCTGATCGGGGTCCCGGGACGCATGGTCCCCCTGGAGTGGGTTCTCTGGGGTCCCCCCACCAGATCTCGGCCTTTGAAAAAAATCATGGAATGCTAGAACTGGGAGGAGCTTCAAAGAAGGAAACGGAGACCCAAACGAAGCAGTAACTTGGCAAAGTTAAGAGAGCAAGGGTGGCAGACGTGCCTAGAACTTGGGCCTGCCTATTCCCACTCGGCGCCACATAGGTGCGTGTGTGTCCTGCCCACAGAAGCTTCTTGTCTCCTTGGGAAGGCATCGCGCTGGCATGGAATGCACGGGACCATCTAGGGCCCAAGGCCGTCGTCCGGGGCTTCGTGTGTTTCTAGGGAGAGACTCCTATTTATAGAGCAGGAGTGAGGGGACACTATGTGTGTTCACAGTGGCCGCCTTCCCCTCTGCCTGAATTTTCACTCAGGGCTCATCGTGGCAGTCCTTGTCCATGCCCAGAGAGGGGGTTCTCTGGACTTGGTTCTGAATCCTGCCCCTAGCTAGCCAGGTTGATCCCCACAACAGCAGGGTGACCCAGTCATGTCACTTCTCCAGGTCGGACTTGCCCGTCTGTAGAACAAAGAAAGAGGACCTGCCTCATCGGGCCCACGTGAGGATTAAATGAGAGAACGTGTAAACACCCTCTTTCCCAATAAATGGTGACGACTCTCATTATTGCTGCGGTTCTGACAAGCAGCCGCAGAAAGAAAGGCAGGCAGCAGCCATCCGTTTCCTTCTGACTTTCACACTTGGGGGCATCGTGTCCTAAGAGGCGGTGACATGCGCCCTGGGGCCAGGCTGGGGCCTGGGGTGCAGGACGCTGGGAGGTGTGACTGTGCCCCCCCCTTAGGCTGCTTGGGTAGCATGTGAACTGTGCTGGGGCTCCTAGGGGACACAGCCCAGGCTCGGCAGACAGCAGGCTGGAGCCCTGTGCTCAGGCAGGGCTGCGTATAGTCTGCAGAGCCTGGCAGTGTGTTTCCTGTAGGTATGGCCTCTAGCCAAGCCCAGAATGTACCTGGACACAGAATACAAAAAGAGCTCCGTGGGGGGCCAGGGAGAAACCAAGACCCAGAGTCAGCGTCAGCCCTAGTACCCTCTAAGGCTGAGCCTGGGGTGGGGGTGCGGGGAGACAAGGCCCCAGTCCCCCTACTCTGCTTCTCCTGCACCCCACCCCGCCCCGCACGCGAGCCCAGAGCCCCCGGGGGCACCCGAGAAACCCATCCTCCCCTTGACCCTTCTTCCTAGAGAAGAGAGCATCCCGTTTCTAACGAGCCCCTGGTCTCGCGGCCAGTGTCGGTGGGTTGCGTCCCACTTGCCCACAGTGACCACAGTGTGACCCGGAGGCTGGAATGTCCCGCACAATAGGAGTGGCAGGGGGAGCACTCTGCCTCTGTCAGCAGCTGATTGGTTACAAGGTGCCCCACAAACACCCTGTCAGCAGAATCAGCTGTTTTCGGGGGCTGCCCCTCCCGCCTTTACAATCACACACCAGCATGCGGCCCAGGGTTGTCATGGCTTTGTCCCCCTTATGCATGCTTAATTGACAATTAAGATGGGGCTTTGAACCAGCCTGGCTGCGGCTGATGGGCCTTCATCTTTCCAGGGAGAGTCACAGGGGCACCCTTTGTTTGCTCTTCTTGGGGGCCTGAAGTTACTGTAGCGGGCTGCCAGCAGCCATTCATCTTCAGCCTGGAAGGCCTTTATCTGCAACCCCCCCCCATTCCAGCTCTGGCCAGCAGGAGCTGTCCCTGGTTAGAGGCCCCATGACAGCCCATTCTGAGGCCATTGAGGAGGCCCGGAGTGATGGCCCCTATCTCCATTCTGGAGCGGAATCAAGAGAAAGGCCCCCAAAAGGTCAGAGAGCAGGGCTGTGGCAAGGAAAGGGACTGGTTGGAGACAGGTGCTTGTATTGATTGGCTCAAGGAGGAGGAGGAGGAAGTTGGCCTGGAAGGGAAGCCGAGGCTTGGGCCAAGGCTAGGGATCCAGCTGCATGAGCTGTGGGGCTCCATGTAGCCTCCACTCCAGTCGGCAGACTCACCTGGCCAGCTTGCCAGTGAGGGGCAGAAGGACCTCATCAGCCTTCGTTCACCCCACATGTCGTGTCCTCGCTCTTACACCATCTTTTGGGGAGGTTGAGGTTCATCCTCCTAGAAAGAAAGTGAGGCACAGAGGTGAGAGGAAGCCCTTCCAGAATAATCTTTGGATACCCTGACCGACAGTCTTTTTACATGGGGGACTTCATTTCTGTGGCCACTTTCTCTTGCCTCCCTTCGAACTCTGTTGCCCCCTCTCCAAGCCCAGGGTGGACTTGATTGGCCCAGTGGTCAGATCAGAGCTTGAAACCCATTGAATCCTGCTACCCACTTCCCCCGCTTGGCTCCCTTCACACGTCCTCCCCAAGTCACCCACCAGAATCTAAGCCTGGGTCTTAGACAAATTGAACCCTGGGCCAGGATATCTGTGTGGTTGCTGCTGTTTTTCCCTGATGCAGAAATCAGTGGGACTGGAGGAAATCTCCAAAGTGCCCAATGGAAGGGTTATGGCTGCATGTGAATAATCATAACATCTGTGTTGATTAAATATTTCCTGGGTCCCGGGCCCTGGGCTGAGTGCCTATACGCATCACCTCAGTTAAACCTCACAGCAACCTTATAAGGGTAGAAACCTTCTGTTCCCACACCCCCATTCTACAGTCAAGGAAGGGGAGAGGTTTAGAAGGTAGATAATTTGCCCAAGTTCATATAGTTAGTAAGTGGCAGACAGGTTTAGAACTGTCACGCGCTTACCATCTCTCTGCATTATGCAGATGCTAAGAACTTTGCAGGCATGGAAACATATACACTACGTAACACACACACACACACACACACACACACACACACACACACACACACTCTACTCCCATAGTCCCTTCTTCTCCCACATTCTTACTGCTCCCCTCTGAATGACAAAAAGGCTTTAGGAGAGCTGGGCCAAGGATGGAGGGGTCACCCAGTCTGGCTGGTTTATTGCTTCCCGCCTGCCCCCCCCCCCCCCCCCCCCCCCCCCCCCCCCCCCCCCCCCCGGCAAGCCTGTTGCCCCTGACCAAGGAAGATTCTGCACCCTGCCTGTAAGAAATTCAAGCCCCCTCTTTCATGAACCCATCCCCATCTGGGTAGGGATTTGAACTGCCCTTGTAGTCAGCCCTGTCTGGGGCACTAAATGCCTTAACAGCTTAATGGGGCCCAGAGACAGCCTGGGCACCTCAGCGCCCCTCTGGAGCTCCGCCCCCTCCGGCCCGCAGACAAGGGGCGGGGTTTATGAGGGCGGTTGTAAAAATATTCATCTCCACAGCAAAGGTCCCCCTGGCAAATAAGCCCCATTGTCCCTAAGTAACAGATCATTGCCAGTTCAGAAAAGAAACAAATCCTGCCTTGAAACATCTGGTACTTCAGGAAGCACTTTGGTACCAACACTTG